TTCACCATGTTTGTAGTAAAAAAAAACAGTTCAGCATCAATATCAAAGTCTTCTTTGTGATGACAAAGAAGACTTTGTGATGGCAAAGAAGACTTTGTGATGGCAAAGATTAATAAATTTTTTAAAGTTTTTCATATTGTGCATATCCATCAGTGAAATATTTAATATTACTAATTTGTAGAATGTTTGCCTAAATGTAATTGGTAATGAGCTGTTGTATTTTGTATACCAAGTATACATCATGCTCAATGCCATAAGAAAGAAAGTACAATGACTTAGATATCACTTTACCATTTAATTTATAGTATATAATAATAGGATGAATGTATATTTTGGTTTATTCCAGTTGTAACATTGCACCTCATTCCAGTATATTTTGGTTTATTCCAGTTGTAACATTGCAGTTGATTCATTGCACCTCATTCTGAACAATTGAAAGTTTTACACTCATTGTGATTTAATAACTCTTTAAGTGAATGAGATGTTAGTTGATCTATTTTATTACATATAAGGTTACTAAGATCTTCAATATTGATTTTTTAATTGATTTCTGTAGTTCTATCTATGGTTTGGAATACCTGGATACCGGTATTTGGAACAATTTATAGTTGCCGAAATACCAGTATTAAAAAAGTTTAATACCATTATTTTGGTATTCAAAATAATTTTACCATTCAAAATAATTTAACCATTCGAAAGCCTAAAAGGTTTAAAATTTTTATTGATCTTATAAATAGAAACAAAATTAAATGTCGGTATATTATATTGGTTATTTTTAGTTAAATTAAAATATTATATAAAATTTAACGGAAAGTTAAATTATACATTATAAGTTATACATTTTGTTATCGTGTTTCGTGTTTTACACCAATATGAATATTCAAGATTTTGAGCATTCCAAAGCAAATGATAAAAGTTTACCATGGTTTCATTTTGTAAGAGAAAAAGCAGGACAGTGTGCTAAATGCAAATTGTGTAAGAAAATACTAAAAATACATGGAGGTTCTACACACAGTCTTCATACCCATTTAAAAACAATTCATAAAATCAATTTATTAAAAAGAGATGTAGGTAGCCCCACTGTCTTAGATTCTTCAGAATTTGCACAGAAATCAAAACCTTCCGTAACTATAAACAACTTCTTTAAAAGGGATAAAATAGATGATTCATTGCCAGCTATTTTAGCTAGGATGACTGTGTTTGATGGTTTATCATTTGACATTATCTGCACATCATATGATATCAGAAAAGGCTTAACAGCCAGAGGCTTTTCTAACATACCAAAGGATCACAAAATAATTCACAAAATGGTCTTGAATTACAGTAAAAATATATGAGACGAAGTAATTAAAGAATTATTGAGCAGAATTGCTAATGGAAACAGATTTTCTCTAACTTTCGATGAATGGACATCAATAAGAAATAGACATTACATAAATATTAATTTCCACTCTGACAAAGAATTTTGGAATCTAGAATTAATTTGTGCTTTTGGAACAATTCCCACAGAAAAATGTGTTGAGCTTGTCAATGATAGGTTAGGTGATTTTAAGATTTCAATCAAGAATATTGTAGGTATTACCACTGATAGTGCTGCAGACATGACAAAGGTAGGCAGGTTAATTGAAGCAAATCAGCAGCTATGTTTAGCGCATGGAATTCAGTTGGCTGTTATTGGCGTGCTCTACAAAAAACCTAATAATGAGGGTAGTCTGCATAATGAAGAAAATGCCAACGTTGCATCATTTCCTACACCTAGATTTGAAAAAAAGCAGAATTCCACAGATGACGATGAATTAATTGATGAAAATTATGAAAATGAAAATGGCTCACTCATAATCTCCACTGAAAACGATGATGATAATTCTACTTTTCTGGTACATCTGCAAACATTACTATTAATTAAAAAAGTTCCAAATAATAATAAAAAAAGGTCAAAATATTTTGTTCTTTGCCTACAAAAATCACAAAATCCTACAAAAATATGTAGAAGAAGAGTTTGAGAAAGAATTGTCTCTGGTTTTAGACTCAAAAACACGAAGGAATAGTTTGGTGTCTATAATAAAATGTTTTTTCAAATTAAAAAATTGCATCAAAAACAGTCTAATAGATTTAAAATCACCTAATTTTTTTTCAGATGCAGAGTTTGAAATTTCAGCTTCAATATCTTTTCAGTTTTACTTCCTAATAATCTAACAATTGAAGCTATCTGCCAACAAGATGCAACTTTGTTATCTGCAGATGCTGCTATTCAATTAATGATGAAATCAATAACTGGCCATCCATGTTCATTAAGTTATGAATTGAAAACAGCTTTAAAAGTATGTGTTCTTGAAAGACAAACAGAAATTTCAAGTGTTTTGCAATATTTACATGATGCAGACTCCATTAAAAATCCAAGTGATGATGAAATCGATAGAGATTATGAATTATTTACAATCATTACCAAAGCTGCAATCGCAAAAGTTATTGTTTTACAGATAACGTCTGGGTTACACACCATATTGGGCAAAGACTGCAAAACTTTGAAAATCCAACATTTAAATTAGAGTGTTCAGATTTAAATGCTACATGAATCTCTTTTAAATTAATCAATATTAATCTTTTTTGCATGTGCTGCCTGTACCCTATACTGAAAAAATCTTTTTTTCCAGGCAGCATTCGTGTGTACTTGTCACAGATCAATGGTTTCATGGGAAAAGCGACTTTCCTTTTTATGATGATGGTTTATACAAAATTCCATGTTGTTTTTTTAGCTTTTCTAGTCTTTTGTATAAGGTAAATAGATACATCAAAAAATTCTGCAGATTTTGGGAGTGATGGAGTTTAATATCTGTATTTTTGCAAAGTATGTCATTTTTTAGTTATTCTTTTAATTGATTTAAAAGTGAGCTTAGATGGTCAATTTTATGGTTATCAGTTGAAGATGTTAGTGGTGTGCAAAATCAGGGCATTAAAAAACCTGCCCAAATAAATCTGCCTAAAAAAACCCAGACAATCTGGGTTTTATTGGGTTTTTTTAAAGATATTTGATAATTTTATGATTTATTATAACCAACATTAACATTATAACTATTATATTATTAACTAAATTAATTATTAACTATTATTGTTAACTAAATTATTATTAACTATTATTATTAATTATTATAACCAATAATAACAGCTATCAGAGTAGATTACTAATATTTGAATCATTATTCAGAAATAAATTATTACAATTTTTATTCAAATAATTGTATAGATTGCAATTTTTTTTTATCTTTTATGTTATTCACCTTCAAAGGCTGAAAAGGCTACTACAGTTGAGGAGGCTACCTTATTGTGGTCAAAACCCTCTCTCAACTCCGAAACACGAACTTTTATGAACTAATGCACAGAGAAACAACTTTAAAATAAATCAGTACATATAGATTTAACGTGAAATTTTTTTTTTTCTATTAGAATTTAAAATTATGTTTAAAAATCTTTTTCAAAATAATTTGAAAACTTCCTTTATTAAATTATTGAATAACATTATGTAAAATATATTTTAAATAAAATTAAATTAGAAAATTATACTAATTTTCAATATCATTAAACAAAAAACAAAAATTTTAACAGATAAAAAATACAAGTAAAACCCAAATTTACCCAATAAAACCCAAAATTGATTTTGGGTTTTTTAAAAAGCATTTTTTTGTCTTATTATTTCTTTAGTTTATTTAATTTTATTTTATTTAACTTTCAAATTTATTCAAAAAAATCTAATTTTACAATATTTTAAAAAGAAATCTTAAGAAATACCGTTAACATTATTTAATTTATGGTAAATTATTTATACATTTTTATTTAATTGGATGTGTCATATTATATGATTTCCTCTTATGCATGATTAAAAGGTAATTAAATTTTATTTTATATACCAAACATATAGTAATCATTATTGCTCCATAAGGCCTTTAAAAAGCTTAAAATAAAAATTTTTAACAAAACAAAATTTTTAATTTTGAAAAATATTTATTTTAGAAAATATTAACAATTTGTAAGGAGGAAAGGAGGAGGGGCTAATTGAACCCCTTCCTTTACTTCTCCCTTCCCCTCTTCTTCGTATTGATATTTGACAACAAAAAAGTGAATCAGCATAAATAAAAAAATAAATTAAAAAAAAAATGTTGAATCACCATAAATAAGAAAATCGAATCCTGAATATCTCAAAAACTATAAGGAGTTGGAGGTTCCAAATTTTAGATTTTTTTCATTTTTATAAACCCTATAATATAAAAAAAATTAGCAAAATCCAAAACATTGGGTAATATGAGTCTGCTAATTTGAGATGGAGTTAACCATATATATATATATATATATATATATATATATATATATATATATATATATATATATATATATATATATATATATATATATATATATATATATATATATATATATATATATATATATATATATATATATATATATATATATATATGTTTAGCATTGAAAAGTGAAAATATATGCATATATGTTTTGCATTTACAAGTAAAAAAAAAAAAAAATTACTTTAAGTTGTTTAAAAATTTTTTTTTTTCTCCAAGTATTGGACTATAAAAACATTTATTAAAATTTAAAAATTTTAATATTTTTAACAAATGTTCTATCATAAGAAGTAGTTAGACTAATTTTAAATTCTGTTTTTATATGATGTTAGTAAAACAACTAATTAAATATTTGTGGAACATTGTTCATTGATCATTATAATCATCATATCGTTTGTTCATTGATCATTATTATCAGCATATCGTTTGTTCATTGATCATTATTATCAGCATATCATTTGTTCTTTGATCATTATAATTACATATCATTTGTTCATTGATCATTATTATTAGCATATGGTTTGTTATTACAGGTTATTAGTTTAATCTTTAACACAGCTTTTAAGTCTAAAGATTTATTATAGTATATTAATGGAAAAATTACTTAAATTGTTTACTCAATTTTATGTTAATAAATTTTAGGTGCAGCATATTTATTAGTTTCTCTTGTGCCAAACATCCACTTTCCTCAATCATTTAGGTTTGTTTATTTTTTTTTTTCTTTTGTGTATATTATATATATTTAAAAAAGTTATATTTAAAATTAATTTTAACTAAAATTAATCTTAATAAAATGAAATTATTTACACAAAAAAACGAAGCCAAAGTAATTTAAAGTGTAAATATATTTATTTTTATATTATTTATAGATACACTTCTTTTATTTATTTATACTTTTTTTAAATAAAGATGGAAAAAAAAATTAAAAATAAATAGATACAAGTATTTTGATGTTCTTTGATTCATTTATAATTTTTTTTAAATTTTACCGGCTTAAGTGGTAAAGTTAAATGAAAGAGTTAAATGAAAGAGTTAAGTGGTTTTTCCACTAAGGTATCTTTTTCTTACAAAGTGTGGCTATCAATACTGTCCTAACAACCCAAACATGGATTAGTATTGATGAAGGTTTGATTATGAAGTTAATTGAATAAATTAATATAAAAGGAAATTTGTTGATTTATTGATATGTTCATTGACTGTAATTTGATTTATTGATATGTTTATTGACTGTTGTTGGATCTATTGAAATGTTTATTGACTTTGAAAAAAAAATAAGTGTTGAATAAAATCTCATTTTGTAAAATAAAATAAATCTGATAAAAGAGAAGGAAATCTTTTAGGAAAATTGGCTAAGCAATAAGTGTAAATTACATGTGTACATATATTTTTAATTCACCATGTGTTATTTAAAAAGTATATATGTACATATTTTTATTGAAATTTTTTACCTATAAATAGTTTTTTACCTAATAATACTTCTGATCTTTCTTGGAAACCTTATATCAAATCCGTTGCAAAATTAGCATCTGCTAAAGTTGCTTCTCTTTATCGAGCTCGTCACTTTCTTACTCTGGATTCTATTCTCTATCTCTATAAATCTCAAATTCGGCCTTGTATGGAATACTGTTGCCATATCTGGGGCGGATCTTCAAATGATGCCCTTTCTCTTTTAGACAAGGTGCAAAAACGCATTGTAAACATAGTTGGACCTGCTCTTGCAGCCAACCTTCAACCTCTGTCACATTGTCGTAATGTTGCTTCTCTTTCTCTTTTCTACAAATACTATAATGGTCACTGCTCAAAAGAGCTAGCGTCTCTTGTGTCATCTACTAAAATTCATTCTCGTGTTACTCGTCATTCAATTAAGTCTCATCCTTTTTCTGTTACTGTTCCTGAGTGCTCCAAAAACTCTTATTCGTCTAGTTTTTTTCCTCGTACATCAGTTCTTTGGAATTCGCTTCCTTCATCTTGCTTTCCTGATTCATACAATTTGCAATCTTTTAAGTCGTCTGTCAATCGTTATCTTGCTCTCCAATCTTCATCTTTTCTCTTCTAGTAACTTCCAACACTAATTAGTGGTTGCTTGCAGCCTTGTTGGAAGCAAAGATAATTTAAAAAAAAAAAAAGTTTTCATAAAACTCTTTTATTTCCTTACAGACATTTAGTAATAAAACATTTAATTCTACTTGTTTAAAGGGTATTGTTCCTGTCATATTTGAATGTCAATATTTTTGAGTTTTCTATTACTTTTTAGAGGGAGGTTGTTTTCAACTCCACAAAAACAAATAAAGGTACTTGATTATTTTTAACTTTACTTTTTTCATATAAAAACATACTAAGTATAAAAACATTAAAAAACATATGAAGTATAAAAATATATTAAATATTACAAATAAATTTAGTCTTTTTTTTTTTTTAATTTCCTTTGGTTTTTCATTATTTACAATCTTTGAGTTTTTAAGAATTCTAAAAGTTCTAAAACACATGAAATTATCACATAATGTAATAACACATGATGTTAACACATAATGTAATAATACATGATGTTAACACATGTAAAACTCATGGCAAACAACTTTAATACTTGACTTCTTTTTGAATTAAATATATAATTACTATTAATTATTTGCTTTCTTAAATCAGCAATTAATGTTTGTTCGTTTTTTCTTTAGATGAGTGAAGAAGCTAAACTAATTTTGAAAAAGGTAATTTTGTCAAATTTTGTTTTATTTAATTTACTGTTCTTATATTTAATTAGATTTAATGAAAATTTCATCTAAAACTTATTTTGGTTTATCTGTTTTTTTTTTTTTCTAAAGTTTTTTTATTTAGGTGTATGAATTTCTTTTAAAAATGTTGCCGTCACTAGGAAAATATTGTGGTAAGTTTTTGTTTTTTTTAAAGAATTGAATAATCGTTTTTATTTTTTCTTGACCACATAATTATTCAAATATTCGTTTTTAATAAAATTTTTGAAAATAATTTGAAAAATAATTATTTATTTATACATATGTCTGTGTTTTACAAAACTTTTTTGAAAGAATCATACATATTGAGCAACTTAATTCAGGAGTGTTTGAAACGGAACTCATGGCAGCCATTACAACCAAGTTAATGGCAAAAAAGATTTACTGTACTTTTTTTTATAAGAAAATGTGAATGATAATGTATGCAAATATCTCAATTAAGTAAAATTCAAACTAGTTAATGTTAAAAATTATATGAAGTTTTACATTTTTACTTTCACTTGAAAATTTGAAGCAAAATCTCTTTCATTTTTGTTTAAAGTGTTTATTTGCCATTTTATAAAGTTATACTGTTTTTTATTTATTAAATGTTGAATTATATTGAAAGTGTTAAAAATTATAAGATTTGTATTCCTTAGTGGCCAAAGTTTGCTGTGTTTCCAAAGTACATCCCAATAGTTCAAATCCTGCACAAATGATTTTTTTTTTATCTTTTTCAATTTTCTAAAATACAAAATATAACACTTTTAAAGTTTTATTGATATACACATAACATATATAAAGGTATTATTTATGTTATACACATAACATATATAAAGGTATTATTTATGTTATATACATAACATATATAAAGGTATTATTTATGTTATATGCATAACATATATAAAGGTATTATATACTAAAACAAGCAAAAAAGAGAGTTTTTAAAAAAGCATAAAATTTCTATAAATATCAAAACAGCAAGGATTAATTTTTTGCACATGTCAATATATGATATCAATGTTAGGTCTTTGGTTATTTAGGTAATTAGTTAATTCTTTGCAACACTCGTTAAAAAGATGACTAACTTGCTTATAGGAAGATAGTCGTTCATAAACATTTAACATTTATTTTGTTCAAAATTAATTAATGGGGCAAAGGTTCTAATAAGCTACAGATGTTCCAGGGATTTTCTTTTTCAAGATATTTCCGGAAATCCGGATATTTTTCTCAATTTATAGTTTTTACGGATATTCAAATAAGCAAAAATATAATTCAGATTTACTTTACCTAAATAATTTTCCGGATTTTTAAAATATGACCCGGATGATCTTTGCGATGATCTGATAAAAATGTAATAAAACTTAATATAAACTTAATATAGAAAAATGTTAACCCGCCCTCACTTTTTTATATAATTTTTATATAATAATTTTTATATAATCATCCCCATTTTTTTAAATAAGTTTTAGAATTTTACAAAATACGAGAAATTTATAAAATACGAGAAAGTTATAAAATAAACAACGATTTTAAAAATTTTCTACCATTTGCAAAAAACTATTGAAATAAAAAATGATTGTATAAAGAATAGATATAAAAATGGTTTGTGTGGAATAGACCCATATTATACAAGTCTATTCCACGCCCTGAATTACCATGACCTGTATTATATGGGTCATGTAAGATTTGTATGATACATGACCTGTAATATGTAAGTCAAATATGAATATTTAGTAAGTAAAATTTATATTTCACCCATCACATTTTAGTTACATAGCAAACATTGTACTAAAAAATATTTATTTTAAAGAGTTATATTATTTAATAAAAATAACATTTTCGAACAGATAAGTCTCACCTTGGTACAACAAGACTAGTTAACTATTTTACACTTTTGAATTACTGCTGTATATCAAATGATGAAAAAGCAATGGTAATTTTTTTATGAAGTTTGTTTATAATTCACTTTTTTTATTCTCCTTCAGCATTGATTTATAACAATTCTTATTTTTATTATCTCCTTCAGCATTGATTTATAATAATCCTTATTTTTATTATCTCCTGCAGCATTGATTTATAATTTTCATTATTTTTATTATCTCCTGTAACATTGATTTGAAATTTGTTTTGTTTTTATTAGTTTACACCTTTCAGCATTGATTTATGGAGATTATATCATCCACTGATGTCTGAACCAGATGTTTCAATTCATTTCAACAAGCAGGTTGTTTTATTTCAGCATTATAATATATACATACATATATATATATATATATATATATATATATATATATATATATATATATATATATATATATATATATATATATATATATATATATATATATATATATATATATGTATATATATATATATATATATATATATATATATATATATATATATATATATATATATATATATACATATATATATATATACACATATATATATACACATATATATATATATATATATATATATATATATATATATATATATATATATATATATATATATATATACATATATATATATATATACACATATATATATACACATATATATATATGCACATATATATATATATATATATATATATATATATATATATATATATATATATATATATATATATATATATATATATATATATATATATATATATATATATATATATATATATATATATATATATATATGGCTAATTCCACAGTTCAGTGACACATCATGCAGAGAGATTTTCTGTAATAAAATTTTTTTCTATAAATAATTTTTTATTATTTTTAATCAATCTTGAATTAAAATTTTATAACATAAATTAAACACAATTGTATTAACATAACACTGACACAAAAATAGCAAAAATTAAAAAATGAGTTCAGTGACACAACGTGGAAAAAAGTGTTTTTTTTATCAGCATACTTTTAAATGGACCTTTTGCTTAAATTTAAATTCTTGCTAGGCTAATTAGATTTTTTTGTTGTAATTTATTCATTTGAAAATAAGGCAGTCATAAAAAAGGCCACAAACAACAAATTTTTTATATTGTTTTATTTTACAGAAAAAAATATCAGTACAGTGACGCAACATTCAGTGACGAAACAAAAAGATGAAATTAAAATCATTTAAAATAGTATCAGAACAACATTATCATTCTTAACATAAAAATAATGTGATTTTGATATATCTGATTTTTTTTAACTTAAAATTGAATCTAAGTTCGTTTTTTTGTTGTCTTGTGTCGTTTTCTGGCATCTGAATTACAGATATTTACAAATCTTGTAATGCTAACTCAAAATCTGCTGCTGACCTGATCTCACATTGACTAGATTTAATTCTCAAGGCTGCGATTCGCTTAACACTAGCTTAAATTTTGCAACCATTCCTTTTTTAATGTGCATTGTTGCAAAGAAATGCCAGAAGAATTTTTTCTGAAAATGTTTTTCAAACACAACCATTGCAGCCATAATGCTTTTGTTTTTAAACTAAGAAAGGACTGTCACTAAACATGTGTACTTCTTTGACTCAATCAAGAATAAAGTGAAGGATTTTGTCAATGTATGGTATAACTGAAGACTTTGTATGATCAGTTGAATCAGAAACTATAAAGAATGTTTTTAACTCAATGTTTTAGATTGCAAGGGTCATTATAGAAACTTGATTTCATTTTGATAGAAACACCTAGCGTTTTCAGCCCAGTCAACTTTGATTCCTGCAGTTTTAGAATTAATATTCATCGAAACTTCCTTTAGTTTCTTAAAAGTTGTTGATTGATTTTTCTTTACAAATGCATGTTTAACAAACTTATTGCGCATTGCTTATATATGTTGGATGAGTTCTGTTACGGTAAACTTCTTTGAAATTTTTGCATATTTTTTAGTTTCAGGCTTTCTCCTCTCATCCCAGGATACTTCGAAACCAAATCTATTAACTGTTTAAAAGTGTTTATCAAACTGTTTCATACTTTTGCAGGCAATACATTTGTCATAGGCGCAATTGGTTTGCAAACAAAGTTATTTATCATTTCAGATCCAACATTGATTAAAGGCGCTTGAATTGATTTTTTTAATGCATTTAAGGCTAATTGCATATTTTCATGCAGACATTATGAGAAAATTTTTTTAACAGATTTCACATTGCGCGGACAAAGGTTGCAAAATTCTTAACTCGAACAATTTTATCGTACAATATAATAACGTATCAGAATATTGTTTGTTTTTCTGTCAGATAATTGAATTTGAGTGGATTTTTGTTTGGTGATACTTGGGAAACTTCATCTTCATTATAAAAGTTTACAACCTGAATTATCTTTACAAGCAGAGCTATTTGTAACAATGGAAAGAGTTTCAGATTGTTTCTTCATTGAAGTTGGTAGTGCTTTTAAAACTTTTTGTTGGTTTTCCTCTTTGTTTAACATTTTTAAAAGACGAGCTTAGTCTTTGAGATTGATTTAAAATTCTTCTTTTTAGAGCTCGACATTTTACAACTCTCAATTTTGCTTCAGCAGCATAAGCTGCTTTTTTATTAGGATCGGTTTTCAATTTTTCTCAATATCTTTTAGGACTTACTCTGAATGTTTCTTTCTTTTTATCAGCATTACGAGAAACATAGTTAGCTTGGTATTCTGCATAAAGTTTTTTTCTTACTTCTAATTTTAATTATATTCCTTAAAAATTCACAATTTTATAAGAAAATGCCAAATACTTTACAATTATTTACTAATAGCCCTTCACAAGACTAAAATAAAAAATTTATTCAACCAAAATCCACAACAAAATCTGAACATTTGGATAATATTTTGACTTCTTTAACATGCTATTTTATAAAATCTAATTATCTTGTTGTTGGGTTCAGTGACGCAAAAGCTTTTAAACTAAATTTATAATTTAATATAATGCTTTTTAACCAATTTTTTTTTAATAGTGATGGAAAGTTTACATTAAAATATAGAATTTCTATAAAAACTTGACCTTAAAGCTTAATTTCATTTTGATAATTAAATTTTTTTCAAACTGTTAGTTCAGTGACGCAACCTAATTTTTGCAGATGTGTATGTGACAAAAAAATAACACTTGAATTAGTTTTAATGAGTATAATTATTTTACTCAAGACATATAATCTGAAAGGTTCTTTTTTAACAAAAATATGGATATGTTTTACTTAAAATGTTGCAATAACTTGCCCTCAAATTTTACTCACTTTTTCAAATAATAAAAAGAAAAAACAGCAGCCAACATTCATCAAATTTATCTACTAGGTTCAAATATTTTTTACTCAAAATTTATTTTAAAAATAATTTTAAGGTGTTTAACTTCTGTTCTGCAAAATTATCTTTTATTAAGTAACAATTATAAATTGTTTCGAGAAAGATGATCTTATAGAAAATCATTTCTTATTCATTTCAAAAAAATCATTTCAAACCATCACAACTTATGTCTGATATTTTAAAAATTTTGCTGCATTAAAAGAAAGACTCCGAATTGAGCAGATTATAATGTAAGTAATAAAAAATACAATTATATTGTATTTTTTATTACTTACATTATATTGTGTTTTTTATTACTTATATTATATTGTGTTTTTTATTACTTATATTAACCACCTGCATGAGTCAAATGTTGCACTATGGTGGCCCATGTATAAACTTTAAACATACAAAGTAGTAGCAAAATCATTTGGATAATGCAATGAGATGATTGCAACATAAATAGAAAGTTGAAAATTAACACTGGAAAAATTTCAAAATGATATTTTATTAACTTTTATATAATTTTTTTAATTTTTTATTAAAACTCGAAAAAAATATGTATTTCAATTAGAAACAAAAGTTGTAAACTAAATAAATGTGTTTTTAAAAGTTTTAATAAAAAAATCATTAATACTCCTTTCAAATTATTTTTTAGGCATTGCTGACCTTTTGGTATCATGCTTGTGAAAATTTTGAAGACAATGTTAAGTTCATCACAGAAACTCGTGATGTTGCATTCAATATTGCATACAACTACATTTTGTAAATCTTTTTTAAAGTAAGTTAATAGTAGAAAATATACAAGATAATAATAATAATATAATAACTTTAGGTCAAATGATGATCAGGAGGTAATTTCGTATAACAACTCTACACTTCCAATGTATTATGGGCTTTTAAGACTTGCTTGTAATTATTCAAAACAGTTTTGCAAAACTTTATCAGTCCATCCTAACATGACATGGGCATTTGAACATTTATTGCCAAGAGCTAATCATTATCCACAGGTCAGTTATGTGTTTTTAATGGTTTTTTAATTCAAAAATAAGATCTTTTTAATGTCTTTTTATAATTTTGTATTCAGGTGATTGAAGAACTTTTGAATTTGATAAAACTTTTTTGCGGTTCAAAATACACATCAAATGAAGATCTCGTGTTAGCATCAACTTTTAAAACAAAAACAATAGAACTTGTTTGCAGTTCAATTGAAGGTCATAATGCTTGGATGACCCTTGTTAAGTATGTTACCTACATACTTAACATTATTTTTTTGTTGTTCTTGTTGCTAAATATTCATTTTGGGTGTTCACATATGTTTTTCTGATTATTTTTTAGTGTACTTCGGGTGTTGATTACTTCAAAAGAAGATTGTTTACATGTGGTTTACAGTAATGGTTTAAATCCACTTGGCGAAGTAGGATTTTTTTTGTTGAATTATTTTATAATCCATATTAATTTATTTTTCTTAGTAATTATAATTTTTATTTGTTAATTAAAACTATAAAAAGAATAAATTAAAATTTAAAATTGTTTTTAATAAAAAGTTATAGTAAAGCAACATCGAAGTATTAATGTTGCCCACTTTAATGTGGTTCTTTTTTTTTTTTTTTAAATTCTAATTCCAATAAGGCCGCAATTAATACGAGAATTTTATAAAATACGAGAAAGTTATAAACTATTAAGTTGGGAGTTACTAGAAAACAAAGAATAGAGTTAAAAATCAAGGAAATTTTTTAAAAGGTCCATTTCCTTTTGGACCTTGTTTAAAAGAAAAAAAACATCATTAGAAGAACCAAATATGACACAAGTTCTAGACCCAGCTCCTATGTCCCCAAAACTTATATGTTGTTTTTTAATGTAATTTTTATTACTAGATAGAAACAGTACAGTAGAATCCTGTTTATTTGGACCCTCAAGGGGATCAAATATATTGTCCTAATTAACCGAAATTATTGGACTTTTAAAAGACTTAACAAAATTTTGAGAAAATCAAATGTACCTAATAAATTCTATATATAAGTATATGTAGAATTGATAATCTTATGTTAATTATAAAATATACTATTTATACTTTAGTATGTATTATATATACTAGGTTGTCTTGAAAATATATCATACATTGAATTTTAGTATAAGAGAAATACTACATTTGGCATCATTTTGTCTATAAAGTCTCAAGCAGAAGGTTATTTAGATAAATCTACTGTTATTTTAAATAATAAAATTTGACATAAAATTGATTTCAATCATATTGTTAGATCACAAATAATTTTGTTAAATCAATAATAGGTTTTAGAGAAATATTTGTTTTTAAATGTAACAAAATGAGCATTTTAACAAACAATTTTTAAAATTTTGAGATTTCAAATAATATAATTAATACAAATAATATTAAACTAAACTGTTTTTAAACAAAAATCTTTGAAATATTCTGCCAATTATTCTGGACTACCTAAATTATTTATAAAAAGTAATACTACATCAATAACCATCATTATTAATATTTAATAAAAAATTTCATATATATTCTTTGTTATATAATAAAATATCTGGAGAGTATCCTGAAGCCTGTCTTCATTGTGTGTTCTTTCTATAAAATCTTGAGTTATCATGATGTGGCATTCTGAATGGCCATTTACAGCTACAAGTATTTTTACATATTGAAAAGTAAGTGTAAGACTTAGAAATGTTGTTATTTTCACTTCTATGTCATTTATCTTTCAAGATCAAAAGTTTCTTCTTAGAGATTTTCAACAGCGGAAATAAAATGGTAGAATTGTTCATTGACTTATTTATAAGTTTTATAAGTCTTAATATTGATGAGGAATAATTTTAATATGAGTTTCTTTTTAACCAGTTCTCTCAACTCTGGTATATCATATAAAAGAAACTTGTTTAACATGTTGGTGTTAACTTCAGTTTTCAATTCTTTAAGAACAAAAATTATTTGTTGGAGGGACTGAGATCAAATGTGACAAATGAGGTTATGGCAAAAAAAACCTACAGCTGTAAATTCTTTAAACTCATCTACTGTTTGTAGCTGCAAAGCAATATGGAATGCTATTAAATATGAATTATGAAATATGAATTTAATAATTCATCATATAAGCCACACCTTTATCATAGATGTGATGTCTGCACATATGAAATGATAATGTTTATGGCACCTTTTATTATGTCAACGTAACTGGATGTTATTTCAAAACACAATCTTGTAACTTGATCAGACATCTCATAGTATTTAAGCATTGTTTGAATAGAAATAGCTTGATCACTTCCCTTGGTGTTTTCAATTTCTTAGATGCCAAAAAGGAAATCTAGAGAACAGACTCTGGCAAATGCTAATTCTGTTCTCATTTAGATATTCCTTTTTTCCAATTTTATCTTTTCAAAATTTTTGTATCAAAATGTACCCAAACTTGTAAAACTTTTTTATCTAGGTTTTTCTCTCTGATTATCTGTACCTTAAACTCCATAACATGTGTTTTCATGTTGAGAATTACAGTTAATATCAACCAATGTCAAGTCCACAAGCCTTACAAGGAGTCAAGACATGTAACTTTAAAATGTTGTGAGTAGGCTTTTTTTTTTTTTTTGTCTAGCTCTAATTGCAAATCTGGTCATAATTGAAATCTAGTTGTGAAGAAAGTTGTGAAAAATATCTTTCAAAGGCAAACTTTGACATCACTCTGAAATGATTTTTGTTTTATCCCAATGTAAAATAAGTTTGTTGCATTAAGTTCAGTTGTCACCTGACCTGAAAAGTTTTAATGATTTATATTGTTTGTATTAAAGAAAAAATTGCTTACTATAATACAGTATTAAAGATACAACTTGTGACTCTTGTCAACAATTAATGATCATTATGTAAAGCATAACAATAGTAAAAATGTGATTGTGATTTGAGTAAATAATTAACAAAACCAATAATATCACAAATTAAAATTTCCACAGTATCAATAACTTTACAGGTTTCTTTAGTCATTGGTTTGTCACCATTTCAACATTTTCTTTTTCTCCTTTCTTAACTACCTCAACATCTTAAAAATTTGTATCTTACATTATAACATTTCCTATAATCAAAGTATTGTCAAATGTTAAAACAATTTAATGTAGGTAAATTCATTCTGAATAAGATCCTCCTCATACTGATCAATTAAACATTTAAATACAGAGAAGTAATCATTATTTTTGTCTACTCTTTCCTTAAATTCCACTTTGCGAAAACAGATAATAATAGTTGTATTTGAAACTTTATTCCAAGAATGAACAAACATTTTTCTAGCATTAAGTATAGAGATTGAAATCATTTGTTTTCTGTCAATATCGTTTATTTTGTTAAATTCGTCAATATCGTTTATTTTTTTAAATGCTGTATTGGAACTTCAATGATCAAATGATTCCTTGAATTGTAGGCTACAAATAGAAAGTTGTATTTGGGGGAAGAAAGCAGATTAATGTAGGCTGCAAATAGGAAGTTATATTTTGGGGAAGAAAGTAGAAGATCCTCAATATTCAGACGAGCAATTATCAAAACTGTTAACAATGCAATTATCAAAAGCCAATGCTACTTTATGGCTTTTAATGCAAACTTTCTGTTCTCTGACTTCCTCTTCAAATAGTTAAGAGTCCACCCTGTTTTTTTATGTACAGTAATGGTATGTAGTGCTTTTAATTCCCTTAAACAATATGGTTTGATTGATTTCTCAATAACAAATACAGGAATTTTTTTTGTACATGTTAGCTGTAGAAATCCCATTTTGCTGAATCTTACAATTCTTGCCTCCACTTTATTTCTGGTCTTTCAAATGTATACTTTTCAATATAAGTGCTTTATAAAATAAACCAAGTTCATCTGCTTTAAATATATATATTTTGGGAGTTCTATCAAGACAATGTTATCAAAAAGTTGTTTCTCTCAAAGAAACCATTATTTCAATGGTAACATCTTCACTTTCACTAAGACAAATGAATAAAATAATTTAAAATCAACAGCAATTTTATTTGCTTTTAAATTTGAGATTTATATTTTAAAGATAAAATGCTAAATAAATTTTTTAGGGTTTTGTGCATTGTGAGATAATGATGTAACTGTATTGCATAAGGTGTCTCCAGCTTTTCAATTGAACTTTTAACAAATTAAAACAAAATGAATTGATAAATGAATAATTTGGGTGATATTTATAATAATAATTTGGGTGAATAATTTGGGTGATATTTATAATAATAATTTGGGTGAATAATTTGGGTGATATTTATAATAATAATTTGGGTGAATAATTTGGGTGATAAAATGAGAATGAGAGTATTCCATGTATTCCCTGTTCAAACAGTTGTATAGATGTTTTAAATAGAAAACTTTCCAATAATAATTTTATTAATGTACAATAAAATGATAAAATACCTGATACTGTTTTAAAATAAACTTAATTTCTTTTTTCCTATCTCTTTACAACTTTTTTTCGTCTATTAGATGGTCATCCTCCAATTCTTATGCATAGTACAAAGCTTTGATTTTAGAAATGGTTATAGACACTATGACTTCAAGACACAGTTTTTGTGTTGGGCATTATAAGTCAATTATAACATGCTTTGTTCAAATCATCATGCACTTGCATTCTGACTTTTTTAATTAAAAAAAAATTTTTTTATCATTTGAATACAGAATTTTTTTTTCAACTTTCTAGACAGTTTACTTTTTAAACAAAATATTTCTTTGTTATGGATGTGAATTTTTTTTCTTTAATCCTTCAACATTTTAATAAAAAATCAATACTTAATCATATAGAAAATATCTGTTTAGTAAAAGTTGAATTATATTTGACACAAAGGTATTAAATTAATTTTCGAATGTTGAAAGTTGTGAATTTTTAATGAGTTTTTTGAATTTTTACAAAATTTTTTTTTTTTTATTGTATCATATGCAATGCAATTGTAGTAGTGGTAGCAGCAGAAGTAATAGTAGTAGCAGGCTTGGTTGGGAAGCGGGAGTGATCGCTCTCGATTGCTGACCATGGATATAATATTTAGTTGCAAAAAGCTGGCCAGACTTTTTAGTCATTTTGCGAAAATTTCAAAAAGCAAAAAAAAATGCGCAAAAAATTAATTGGACCAATGAGAGGCAATTAAAAATATATATATATATATCTTTTAACGAGAAAAAACTTAAAGCAAAATAAATTTACGTTTTTAACAAATATTTCGAAACATCGCTCTTTTATAATTTTTTTATAAAATTAGGCGATGTTTTTGATATAAAAAAACATCCTACGATTGTTTAAAAAGTAAACAAATGTTCTTTATTTATCAAAGTTTGCAAGTTTTAGTTTTATCTAAACTAAATTATTTTATAAATAAAAAATAGGTATTAAAATTTTTTTAATACCTATTTTATGTTTCGCGTAGTATAAAAAGTTTAACATATTTAAAACCATTCTTCTTAGTAAGATAAACAAATAAAATAATTAAATCTTTGAATTACTATAGAAATTAAATTAACTAGATAGAAATCAACTAAAAAGGTTAAAAATACTTTATGACAAGGAAGTGAAACTGTTTCATAATATTGCTGATGATGTTTAGTGAGTGGGCTTTTTAATTTTAACTAGTATTTAAATCAGAAAAAAGTATATCGAGTTTTTAAGAATGGCAACTTAAGCGAAAATAATTAGATTTAGTAAACCAATATCTAGAAACTTTTCTTTATATCTAATAACTTGTTATATATATTTGTGTTCTGTCATGACCTCAGGCGCATTGCTTGTTCATCCCCAAGTTATTTTGTACACATTGTTTGTGTTTAGTAACCAGAAACTTCTTATATGTTTGTTACATTATTAGTTTTATTAACTTTAATGATTATTAATAACTTCATTGAAAGCGCAATTATTTTTGTAAGTCTTTGTTTACAAATTAAATCGATAAAAAACAGATACACAAAATTACATTTACATACTTTTTAAATATAAAATAAGTATGAACTAATAAAATCTATAATTTATAATAAACTTTCAAAAGTTTGACAATTTAAATAATTTTTATTTAAAGCAATTATTTTTGTAAACAAATAATAATAGTTTATAAGATTTACGACTTTGTGGCTCCGAGATGTGGCTCCGAGATGTGGCTCCGAGAACAAGCTTGACTTTGTAGATGTGGCTCCGAGAACAAGCCATAGAATCGATAATATATCTTAAAACAACTCATGCTAATATAACAAATCATGAATAATACAATTTCTAAAACATTACAACAGAATACTCTACAACTTTATTTTGCTTAGTCAGTGTATTTTTTGAACCAATAGAATTAGTTTGTTTGTTTATTTGGCGGGTTTTTAGAGTTTGCGAATAATCTTTTGAGATGTTTTGAGAACATTTAAGTTTTTTATGTTTCCATGTATGTCTGTAAAACAAAAAATTTTTGTTTTGTACATAAACTTTAATGTTCTCAAAACGACTCAAAAACCTGGCCAGTTTTTTGCAACTAAATGTAATTTCCGTGGTCAGTATTCGAGAGCGATCGCTCCCTTTTCTTGACCATGCCTGTAGTATTAGTTGTTGTTGTAGTTGTAGTAATAGTAGTTAAAGTAGTAGTAGTAGTAGTAGTAGTAGTAGTAGTAGTAGTAGTAGTAGTAGTAGTAGTAGTAGTAGTAGTAGTAGTAGTAGTAGTAGTAGTAGTAGTAGTAGTAGTAGTATTTCTTGAATTGTTATAAACAAGTTGCTTACAGCTAATATGTTTTCAATATTAGGCTTTTTGTACACTTCATCTCATGTACTATGAAGCCACTGCATGTAATATAACAAATGATATTCTTGAAGTTACAAATCTTTTACAAACAGTACTTGGGTATTGCCAATCTCACATATCTGACATAGGTATTTTATATTTTATTTATATAAGCCAATAATTTTTTATTCAAAATCTTATAAGTTTTTGATTTTTTTTTTTTTTTTGTCAAAAATTTAGATCCATTATATAAAGTTTTGCATTCTTGGGAAGATCGAGCTGATGTAATGATAAAAGCATTGTCGATGTTAAATTCATTTGTTGCAAAAGAAATACAAAAATCTTGTTTAGGTAAAATTTATTTTATCTTTATAAAAATAAAATTCTTAAATGATGTAAAAATGGTTATAAATTATAAAAATGGTATATACAATTTGATAACTTAGAACTTTTCTTTGGTTGTTAAGATATTGATAACATGTTGCGATACAATGATGTGTAACAAGTTCTTACAATGCCTTTTTTTTACATCTATTTGTCAGGTTTATGTGTACATTTTTTTACATCTATGTTTGTCGGGTTTATGTGTACTTGAGGACCATTACAAATGAAATCATCCAGACTACCTTTAGTCACCTTTTGGTCTTAGAATTGTTTTATTGCTACATCATTTTACAGAAAAATAGTCTGTGGATTCAAAAGAATCAGAAACAAGACATAAGTCGAGTAGAGAAGGTAAATGATTCGGGTTGTCTGGAAAGCGAGATGGAAAGTTGACTATTTGAGTTAGGGATTGAGAAAGGCAAAAGTTGTGGGCTTTAATGTCTGCAAAGTCACTGACACTAGAGCCAAGCTATTCAGTGTGATGAGCATTAAAGCCACCAACAACCACAATATTGGCTAATGGATAAAGAGAGAGGGCCTGATCAATTTGATCAGAAATAACATCAAGAAGAGTGCAGTCTTGAGATGAAGGAGAGCATTATAGAATAAAGAAAAAGGCAATCGAATGAAGTGGTGCTAGACAAAAGCATTTTGAAAAATAGTCTGTGGATTCAAATCTAGTTTCCAGATTCAAATCTAGTTTCCAGGTGAACTCTTACAAATGTAAATGCCCAGGCCGAGCCCATGATTATTGGAGTCTTTATGAATTAAAGGAAGATAACAATTAGCACTAAGATCACAAGATGAGACAGCTGAACTCAAATTTAGTCTCATAAAGATCAATTAGGTCTAGTGAACTTTGCAAGAGATAAGACTCATCATAAGAAAAGTTACTTCAAAGACCACGAATATTAGTGAATGATAGGTTTAAAGAACTTGGTGATGACAATGGTTTTTTGTGTTTTATAGTTTGTGGTACTTTATTCATTTTTAAATTTGTTAAAGAACTTGACTGAAAGCATAGACAGTACTCAGTACACGTTTTAATAGCCCAAGCAATTGCCTCTTCTATTAATTAACCCTAAGCGGTAACAAAGGGCTCCAAATGTGGCCTGGACAGTGCACACCAAAAGTACAAATAGGGACACCATCCATGTGCAACATGGTACTGTTAGTACTCTGATATTTTTCAGCTGTTGATGGAATCAGCCTTTCTGCGAGCTACCACAAAGTTCGAATCCTGACTACCAGCCGGCCTCAGAAACATAAAACTGAGTTTTTGAGTTGTACCCTTATTAGGAGATAAAAGAATTAATTGACTAGTCATAAAAACAGAGACACAAGCAAAACCCATGCATTGATTCAAGAAGATCCAGCGTTCAACATCCTAAACTGGAAACAATGTATTATAAATACATCTGCGCCAGCCCAATAGATGAGGAAGGGGTACAAATCTGGTTAAAAAAAAGAATCTGTTTACCCCTTAAAAAAATAAATAAATAGAACAAGTTATAAAAAATAAATAAATAGAAAAATAAATATTTAAAAAAAAAAAAAATAGAAAATAGTAAGTGTTCTTACACATATTGAAATATTTGATATTATTCTAAAAAACAAAAATATTAAGGAGATTTAATTGAACATTAAAAAAATAGGCTATATTGAATGTTTTTATGATGAGTTTTGGTGGATGGAGATTGCTGAAGATGTAATTGAATTTGATATAAAATTTAAATTCATGGATTCACGTGGACCAGATAAAAATTTCTTTTGACCAATGAGAAATGATGAGTGCTGGGTGCTTAACTATAAAGTTATATTAATAATTTCTACATCCATAACTATATCAGGTTGTTTGTACAATATATCTGATTTAGGTTTAAAGAATATAAGCAGTTCATTACAAAAAAATAAATAAACATTTAAAATAATGTTGTTGTAATTTATTTACATATTTTTTCTAAAATAGTATTTGCTTTTCTTTTTTTTTATGAGAGGTGGGAGGGTGAAGTATTTGTATTAGAAACAATGTTTTTAGTCTTGTTTTTTTTTTTTTATTAGATTTACTTCATGAGTTATTGCAAACATACCCTGAAGAATTTATAGAAACAGTTGCCCCCATTATTCATCAGTCACATCTTGCAATAAGAATGACACCACAAGAAAACTGTAAGAATGCATTATTTTCTTCTTTAATCAGGAATCAACAAATAAAAAATTTTGTTTTAAATTGTATTATTGTTTTTAGTTCATTTTGGACCCCATTTTCCCAAACCAGGTACTCAAACTAAGGTTAATCGAAAATTATCTTCATTGAGACCAAAAGAACCAGAATTGAATATGACACTTCATCCTCATATTATTGAATCTTTTTCAGTGAGTTTTATTTGTATTAAATTTTTTCATTAAATTTTCAAACACAAAATTATATATGCTAAAAAAGTATTTTTTATAATATTTATAGACTAGTATTTGTATAAATTTAATACAATAATATTTTTACAAATATTATTGTTTAAATATAATACAATAATATTTGTATAATATTTATAGAATATTGCATTTTACTTAAAATAATATGTATATACCTGTTAAATTATTCTCTTTAATATACCTGTAATAATTATTGATAATTGTTTTTAATATTATATAGTTATATGATTTTATTTTTTAAGTTTACAAAAGAACTTTTAAACTTATTTACTTAATAATAGTAAACTAGCTAGTATGACCCGAACGATACGGGTCGTGGCAAGTCTATTCCACACTCGATAATTTCTAAACTTGTTCCTTAGTCTTTATACTTTAATTTATTTTAGTAAATGGCAAAAATAAAATCAATTTAAAGTTCTGGTAGATGGTAAAGTACAAATTTTAATTGCGAGCCATAAATTATAATTTTTGGTTTGCAATTTAAGTTTGCATTTTACCATCTACCAGATGGTAAAATGTGAGCTCTTAAGAAAATTAAATCAAACTTTAATTGCTTGTTAAATTATAATTAATTCAAAAAAAAAGTCTAATTTAAATAAAATATATCAAATACCAATATATTTAATTTAAAAAATCGATGAGCAAATGTTTTTAATATCATTACTGTTGTGGTCATTAAAATGTCTTGGTTCGCTAAAAAGTACACAGTTTGCATTTTATTGACTACTTAAATTTCTTGATTTTTAATTTACTATTCTTTAGAACTAATTAGTATTTTTACTTATTACTTATTTACTTTAATATTTTTTACATAATAAAAGTATCTTTAGCATATAAGACAGTTGTGTGAAACTTAGGCTAAGATAATATTTTAATTCTCTCATAAGGATTTATTTAAAAAGCAAATTTGGACATTGAAAAATGGACCAAAGAGACCTAGTTATTTCAAATAAGTTAGCTTTATCTGCTTGATATATTTTATAAAAGCCTTTCCGTAAACAGCTACATCTACATCCAGCTATTTCCAAACTTGTTCTTAGTTAGGTTTCTATACCTTAAGTAAACAGCAAAAAATTAGGCGATTTAAAGTTTTTGGTTAACAATTGACTTAATATACTTTAGAAGCTGTACTTATTTACTGTATTCCAATATTTTATACATAAAAGAATCTTTAACATAATAGAGACAGTTGCGTAACATTTCTTCAGGTGTTTTTGAAAACTTAGGTTATAATCAAGATTTTACACTCTCACCAAGATTTATTTAAAAAACAAGTTTATACGTTAGAAAACGAGTCTAAGAGACTTGTTATTTTTAATAAGTTAGCTTTATCCATTTGATAAAAGCGTTGCTGTAAAAAACAAAACTGTTAACAAATTCATTAAATTAAGCTTTTTACATCCGAAGTTATTAAGTTGTTTGTTCTAAAAATCGATACTTAATGCAAATGGAAACTTTGAGTACAAAATGAGATTTAAGTATAAATGGTTTCCATTCATATATATAGAAAGCAACAGAAATATAAAAAACAAAGCAAAAATTATCAATATATCCATTTGAAACAATAAATCCTAAAATAAACAAATATAGATATTTGCTTAAGAAACAAAAAAAATATTTTTCTTGAGATAAAATAAAAATATAAACTTTTAAAAAAATTACAAAAAAATATTATATTTAATAAAAAGTAACAAAAATACTTAAAAAACAATTTAAATTGAAACATTGTTTCATTATTATGAGGCTTTAGGTAAGCCATAATCAAGTCAGCCATAAGAAAAGGAACTCGACCTAAAAATGGAACAAAATTATTTTAAACACATAATACACATTAATTACAAGTTAACGTGTCATGCAATAAATTAATTTTTTAAAAAACTCAAAAATGCGCATAAGTGGATAAGAAACTTATTTTTTATTTTTCCATAACCCTGACAGATCAACGTGAAAGTGAGCTAAGCCTATTAGCATAAAACATCACAACAATTAATTAAATAGCAGAACATGTTAAAGTAAACTCTAGATAACCCACGCCTTTAAAGGACAAAGAAATGAGTTTATTTTTTTTGAAATTAGTTTAGTTTTAGAAAATTAGAGTTATTGAGAGTATAATATATAAAAAAAAGCTTAAGTGGAATTTCAAAATTAGTTTATATTGTTGAGGGTTGAGTTGTCCTGAGTTTATTGAACATATTTTATATGTATGTATATGTATATATGTATATATATATATATATATATATATATATATATATATATATATATATATATATATATATATATATATAGTATATATATATATATATGTATATATATATAAATATATATGTATATATATATAGTATATATATATAATATATATATATATATATATATATATATATATATATATATATATATATATATATATATATATATATATATAGTATATATATATACTATAAATATATAT